ATTAAGGAATGGAATTGGACAGAAAATGTCAAGAAATATTCAGTAAGAATCTTATTCGAAGAACCAGCAGTTGAAGTTGAAAGAGAAGTTCGACAAGAGGAACTAGAAGTTATAGATCAACCAGGATCAACCCGACCTCAGAGAACAAGACACATGCCTGCAAGATTGTGTGATTACATCAGATGATGTAATTTATGATGAACGTGAGCTGGTACATTATGCTTTCTATGAAGATGTCGAACCTGTCAATGCAACTGAAGCATTGAAAGATTCGAAGCGGGTGAAAACAATGAATGAAGAAGTGAAGTTCATTGAAGACAACAACACTTGGTCACTTGTCGAATTGCCTCAAGGAAAGAAGGAAATTGGTGTCAAGTGGGTATACAAAGTGAATATGAATCCCAAAGGAGGAGTAACTCGACACAAATCAAGGCTCGTGGCAAAAGGATTTCTCCAGAAAGAAGGAATAGACTTTGATGAAGTTTTTGCGCCTGTTGCTAAAATCGAAACAATCAGGTTGATTGTTGGTATAGCAGAAATGAACAGTTGGCACATATTTCAGATGGACGTGAAGTGTGCATTCCTAAATGGATCCTTATACGAGAAATTTTAATTTAAACAACCAGTTGGATTTGTGAAGCATGGCGAAGAGAGAAAGGTGTACATGCTGCATAAAGTCTTGTATGGATTGAAGCAAGCTCCAAGAGCTTGAAAAAAGAAAATGGATAATTTTCTAAGAGAGAAGAAGTTTGTGAAGTGCACAACTGAACATGGAGTATATGTAAGAAGAAGCAATAGTGAATTTCTTATACTATATCGATGACTTGTTAATAACAGGTAACTGCAAGAAAGAGATCAAAGACTTCAAAGGTGATCTCAGCAAGGAATTCGAAATGTATGATCTGGGTGACATTTCATATTTCCTTGGCATCGAATTCTACAAGAGTAGTAGAGGTTTGATGATGCATCAAAGAAGATATGCAAGTGAAATTCTCAAGAGATTTGAGATGAAAGAATGCAACTCTACATCGATACCTGCTGAACCAAAATTGCAACTGTCGAAAGATTCATAAGAAGGTGATGTCGACCCAACTCACTACAGAAGACTTATTGGGTCATTAAAATAACTTTATCACACAAGGTCTGACTTAATATACAATGTAGGTATGGTAAGTAGATTCATGCAGAAGCCAAAGGTATAACACCTAGCAGCAGCGAAGAAGATATTGAGGTATCTGAAAAGAACTCTTGACTATGACATTTTATTTCCTACTGTTGATAAAGGAAAAGAATGCAAGTTAGTTGGATACACTGATTCAAGTTGGTGTAGTGATGTTGGGGATCGAAAATCTACAGCAGGATATGTGTTTATGCTAGGTGGTGCATCAGTTTCTTGGAGTTCGAGAAAGAAACCAGTAATGACATTATCATCATGCGAAGCAGAGTACATAGTTGTTTCTTTTTGTGCATGTCAAGCAACATGGATGGTGAACTTGATCAAAGAGATTACATAAAAAGATCATGGAGCAATTACCATGAAAATCGACAGCGTGTTAGCTATTAATCCGACAAAGAATCCGATAGCACATGGTTGAAGTAAACACATCAAATGAGATTCCACTATCTTCGAGAACAGGTAGCAGATGGGAAGATGGACTTAGAACACTACAAAACTGAGAATCAGATTGAAGACAACATGACGAAGGGTGTGCATGTCGAAGTGTTCAGAAGACTAAGAGTTATGATGAATATAGGTAGCTTAGACACAATGAATTATATGGTGCGTTGAAAGTATAATTCCTTATGTCAAAGCAGCTTGCTCGATAAAAAACAAGGAAGTGTCAAAAAGATTGTGTCGAAGTGTAGAAACGGTTTGTTACACACATATTTGATTTTAGATCTAAAATATATAGATTTAATTTAGGTCTAAAATAGATATATTTGATTTAGTTCCAGAATATGTATTTTGGCCTTTTATAGTTTTGGGTTTTGGCTTATAGAACAAGCTAACATAAATCTATAAATAGAGGGAGTAACCCCTATTTTTGTAATCAAGTTGTATTCACAGAATTTGCAGTTGCAAGTAAATAAGAAAGTTTTTCACGGTTTGTGAGCAGAGAGTTACTCTGCAGAAACCCTAAATCTCTTTTCTTCTTTCAATTTTCTTTTCTTTTCAATTTTCTTTTCTTTTCATTATCATTATGTGGTGATAACAATCATGTTCGTCAAAATTGATAGAAATTCATTATAAAAATTATTGGATTTCCAACATAGAGGAATCTCATAAGTCAGTATAGACAACATCAAAAGTGTCATTGCAAATAATAGATAATAAAAGAGCATGAATTCTATGAGATTTTTTTAAGCAACAAGATTTGCAAAAAATCAGAATTAGCGGTATTGGTTATATTCATATAATAATGACTTAAGGTGTGTTTTATAGCAGAAAAATTAGCATGGTCGAGTCTAGGTGCAACAAGTAGCTAACATTTGATTTATTTACATCAGACAACAAAGAACTAGAAAAAGAATTAGCTGGTTTATGAACAATAGTAGAAAGACCATGACTCACGGATAATGAACCAGATCTTGAAGGCTCCAATGTCAACTTTGAAAAACAATACAGCCAGTTGCATCAAGGAAGCCCTCAAATGGAGTGTGCTTAGAATTCTGAGACTTCACATAACAATGATCAAAATGAAACTCAAACAAAACTCAATTATCTTTTGAAAACTTTGAAACAGACATCAAATTTGAGTTATGGAAGACACATGTAATATATTGTTAAAGGTATTTATATTTAGAAGCAAAGTTTAAAGAGCCTATATTGAATTTCTAAGGTTTGTCCATTACCAACTCATACTTTAATATAACCTACACATGATTTCTTTTTATGCAAATAATAGTTATAAGGCGAGAAGCATCTGAATCAATAAATCATGCTTGGGTTTCAAGTTCTAAAGAAGAAAATACTCTTGTATGTAGGCATATGGTTGGTGTTTTGTAGCAATCATAGCCATAGCTTGAGAAACTTTTGGTGTGTTGATTTCCTGGTGCATTTGGTTGAGTGTTGGAAGTCACAAATGATTCATCAAACTTGTGCCAACAATCAATTAAATAGTGGCCATATTTACCACACAACTGACATGCAGAGCGATATCCAGATGAGTTGCATCCTCTACCACGACTCCGACCACAATATAATCAACCTCTACCACGAGCATCAGAAAAACTACCATGAAATGGATCGTTAAGGCGATTGATACCATACTAGATTCAATGGAAGCTCTGCTTTATTGTAAATTTTATTATGATTGATCACTTGCAAATAAATAGTGTGCTAGCATTTATACTGGTGTATAACAGTCCAAGACTTGGCTTTTGCGTAGCTATATTATGCAGTACATCTAAGTGCATCAGTTACTAGTCTCACTTATACAAACACCTATAGACAACAACACTAGCTTAGCTTTACACTAATATAACTGAACATTAGTAATACACTTGACTTAAACTCTAATACTCTAATAGTTAATGAAGTGAACTAAGCCATTTAAGACGTAATCAAGTGAGTTATTTGGTGGCCATTATCATGAAATTAGAGTTGTGACTGTGAGGCTGATACATATTGAATCAGAGCAAACAATCTAATACACTGATCCCGAGTAACAACGGGTGGACTAGAGTCATCTAGTTCCTTCAAAGAACCACGAGCATCGAATTTGGCTTTGCTTTCTTCACTCGCTGAGTTGTTTGCATAAGAATTCACACGAGATAATACACTGGTGGATAACAATGTTCCTTATAATATGTTTAAATGGCGTGGCCAAAAGTAGTATTGTCACAAAGGTTGCAAAACAGGCTACCTGCCATAATTTCTATCATACAACATTCTGCCATATTTACACTACGCATTATGCAGGAATATATGTTCCTGTCATTAAACACATCAGAATGCTGCTATAATCTTTAAGGAACCAATGTCATGCATGAGCATTGATTGTTGCACGATGTTGATTTTGTAAAAATTGCTTCATGTATCGACTTCCCTGTCTGTGTTCTGTATGCATATAGTGCAGACACAAAAAATAGAAAATCTGTACCCTTGAATTCTGACAGTTCAAGAGTTGTGAAGCACAAAATTATAGAACTTGCCTTATCAAGATAAACATAAAACAAAGAATCAGAAACAGAAAATAGAATGAAATAAATTTTTCAATTGAGGAAATTTAAGAAGAGTTTCATGTTTCACTTACCATGTCATAATGGCATTTTATGTGCTAACATCTTTTTCCATACTGAAGAAGATAACTCCTGGCTGATATCAGATCGCCATATTTTGCATACAGACTCAAGTCATGCAGCTCCTATATAGGAGTTTCAGAGCTTTGGAAGAAAACTAAAACAGGTAATAATCCGGACGAATCCATTGATGGATGCAGAATCAGTTCTAATAATCTGACACACAGTATGGGCTTGTCATGTATATGTACAAGCTGACGAATGCATATGAATGAAAACTTAACCACTAACCGTACCTTAACTTACATTTGTAAGCTAATTGGTGCTGTTGAGATGCCTGGAGTTTGCAGCTGATTCCATGCTCTCATCTCCGCATTTAGCGTCATGTCTCAAGGTTGAGCAAGATCGAGCTCATAGTCATGAGTTGATAATTATGAGTGGAAAAAAATTGCAAGGAATGAATCATAAAATAGTTACATAGATGGAAAAATCCTACACTGTTGGAATCCATAGAATAACAAGAAAATTTTCATCACTGGCTAATATATCTGTGGTACATTACAACTTGAAACTTTTTCAGAAACCGCAAACAAACAGACGCGCGAAATTGTTTTGGGTTTAATCGAATAACTTAAGTTACAACGTTTTATGAGTTATACAAAATACATTATTCAATCTATGCTTTTCAAATCCTATAGGTATGAATTTTAGACACGCAAACTGGTACATCAATCAGGAAAAAAAACACAAGTAAAAACTCAAGACCAAAATACTTTATCTTTTGTAGCAATTCTTCCATTTTCCTCAAGTTCGGTTCCCCGATAGTCCAATGTCCATTTCTCAAATGAACAGTCAGTGAAGTCATAGTAACCACCATGAATAGAGAGTTCTTCTTTCTCCACCTTTTCTTTAATCCAGGGGTAACTAAGTAGGTTTACTAAGGTATGGTTAATCGATACCTGTAAGACGTAAAATTATTCAACATAATCAACTTTTCGAAACTTTCAACATCCAAATTACATATTCAAATCTAAAAACATAAAATATCACCTTCTCACAATGTTTGCACTGGCCATCAAAGTCGAGGTTGGAAGCAACAGCCTTGGTTTTTACTTTCGCATTCTTTGCATTAACAACCCAACTTTTTATAAAGCTACACGGAAAATGAAAATATTCAAGTGAGAAGTGTATATAAAAAACACATTTACTAAAGATAAAAAAAGGAACAAGAATGACTAGAATTACGTACCCTGTAGTGCCATCATCTTCCATACCCATAAGGGCGCGTATGCCCCCACAGCAGCTGTGGCCAATTACTAAGATGTTCTCAACCTGTAAAAAACAATTGTCTCTCCTTAACAACAAGTACAAATCTCACAATGTTCTTACCAATTATGGAAATAAATCCCGCCTTGCACTTTTTAGGTGAAACAAATGCTTACCAGAAGCGTGTTTACCGCAAATTCTAATGCAGCGTTTACTTCTGTGGGTCCACTCTGCATCAGGAAAAGAGAATTAGAAGAAGAAGTACGGCGTCTCTTCTATTCACACCAAAGCAATGATGATAAATTGGTGAGCATAAACAACTAAGGAATAGAAGTGAGACTTGAAGCCTATTTGAAATAACTTATTTGAGTTTATCTACTAGCATAAGCACTTTATGGCATGTACATAAGTTTTTTACACCTTATTTCCACAAGTTTTTCAGAATAGCTTATAAAAACAACATATAGTTTATATGAAAAGAATTTGACTTTATTCTATCTTTTGTTGAACAAACAGCTTATATATATATAATCATTTACTTAAATTGTTTATTCAAACAGGATATATACCTCAAAAGTAGGAACCAAATTAGCAATGTTGCGGATTGTGAATGCTTCTCCGGGTTGAAATCCCAAAATACTAGAGGGACATACCCTGGAATCTGCACAGGCAATAACCATGAACTGTTCGAGGAATAGTTAGCATAGAATACTTATATATGTTATATATATTTTAGTAGAAAATTGAAGAATGAACTCAAAGGAATAAGCAACAAAAAATAATTCAACAAACAACTAAAGGCATAGCCAGAAGGTGGATAGTAGAGAAACGACAGAACAACTACCTTTGGCACTTGAACCTTGGCAAGACTTTCAGACAGTTCCGCGTTTTTCCTGAAAACAAAATGAAACCAAAACTAAGTAACTCGCCTCTTCAATTTAGACATGAAAAAGAAAAGTTTCTGACCCGGGATTTTCCGAAGCTTACATATATACATCCTTCTTAAAACTTAAAAATCTATCCTTCAGATCATTAAATATATCATCACGACCGTCTTTAACTTCACCTAAAGTCTCTAACTTGCTGTTATTAAGTTGTTCGGTAAACCCTGGAGACCCCATCGAAGCCTTTAAACTAGAACACTTACTTCTCCTGCAAAACAATAGAACTTGGTATAAAACGCAGAAGCAGCAGAAAAAGAAGAACAAAAAAAGATATTCCAATGTATTAATTTATTTTTTCAATAACAACCCTAATTCAATTAAATATTCTTGTCTCTTACTTTAAAGGAACAGCTACAACAAAAAAAGTTGAAATTAATCAAATATTAAAATCACTGCATACACATCTAGATCACAAGAAATGAAAATCACAGCTGCAAACTCTATGTCATCACATAAACATAAAACATCACTCTCATTTATATAATAAATTACAATAACACTATGCAATCAAGCAAATAGGCAATTAAGCATAATGAAACTAAAACCATTGATAAAATTCCTTAACCCGACCCTGACGACGCGCAGAAAATAAACTCTACTAACAAATTCAATTACTCAAAATTTCAAATCTTTCCTCTAAGATTCAAACTTAATAACCATTTTCATTTATTTATTCTGGTAAACTAAATCAAGATTAACATTAACCATAAAGAAAATATCAATCAAACCCTCCACTAAAAACACCCTAATTTACATAAATTAAGCAAATTCAACACCATTGAAGCAAAAAGCATAAAACTTTGGGCACAAACCTTAAAGATATAAACTGGGTTAGCTCAATTTTCGGTGTAATTTGCGCAGGAACAGAGATCTATCAAAGCAAAAAACTTTAATTAGCCCAACAACAAAATCATCACATATATAAGAAAAACAGAAGAATTAACGAATACCCTTGATAAAGGAAGAAGCTTTGAGGCGAATGGATCAGAGGGAAGCGAGATTGAAGCAGGAGATGCCATTGAAGAGCTCAAACTCAAACTCAAAAAGGGGAATGAAGAAAAGGGTTATGAACATAGTTGATAATTGATTATAAATTAATGAATTAACAAGATTCAAAAATTGAGGGAGTATAGTAATAATAATTAAAACTGAAAAAAGAGTGTGGTGGGTGAAGTTGTTACGTTGGTAAACAAACATGCAATGGTTTTTCTCCAAGAAAGACGGAGAAACCAAGGTATTATATAGGAAAAAATTACATTTTACTATTTGTCTTTGTCGGGTTATTGGATTTTGAAGAAAAATAATAATTATTTTGAGGAATTTTATTTTGTCTTTTGCTTTGATGGAAATATAGGGAAATAGGTGGTGTGGTGAGAGTGGAAAGTCAATAAAGGGAATGAAAATAGTGGTTGATAAGTAAAGGTGTGTATAATAAAGTAAAGGGATAGTATAGATTAAAGATGTAATGTAATCACATCAATCAACTAAGGGGATATTATTGGTTTTTTTTAGAGATAAAACTTGCTTTTATTCAACAAAAATCATAGCAACAAGGGAATGAAAGTTTTACTACATATCCATACCATTATCCCTTCATTTAACATAAATGAATACAATTTTTAAAAAGATTAATTTTATAATTCAAAAAGAGATAGCAGTGCAATATATTGTTCGTATGTCTGTTATTTCTATATAATCTTGATTATATTAAAAATAGATTAATTTTTTTAATTTAAAAATAAATAATATAAGGCCAAAGAAAATTTTAAATTTTATTTTATTTTTTAATAAAATTAAAACTTAAATTATTTTTTAATAAAGAATATTAAATACTATTTATTTTAAGTTAAGATTACTTTATTTATTTTTAAATTAATTAATTTTATTTTCCCTTAAATTAAATTTTTTTTAATCTAATTATTAAATTAAGTCATTTATCACAAATGAATGATTTATCTATTTTTTATATTAATAATACAAAGAGAAATTTTAATTTATATAAAATTAAAAATATACAATAATAATTAAAAATATATAAAAAGAATAGTCTGAAAAAATTGTATATTGAATAACTTTCAACGATTGACTACTAGATAATTTATAGATAATTTATAGGTAAGTTATCCGATGAACAAACCAATAACGGTTGAATAACTTATAAGTTATTCGATGAAATAACTGATAACTACTAGTTAACTTATAGATAAGTTATTTGGTGAACAAAATGATGACTATCGGATAATTTATAGGTAAGTTATTCGGTAAATAATAGTAGGGATGAAAAAAAATTCATTTTCGAAAAACTTGACTAAAATAGTAAAAATGAAATAATAAAAAAATTATAAATAAAAAGGATAAAATTAGAATATTTTGAAAAATATAAGGTGGGGATATGTTGGATCAAATAATATACTTATCATAGTCACTCATGAGGTAGTGGAAAGAAAATAGATTTGTAGTATTAATATAAATAGAGATAGTTAATTTAAGTTTTCTTTATAACAATAAAATGTAGTCTTTTTGGTGTATTAGGGATTTAGGTAGTTGTTTGTCTAGAGAGGGTTCAAAAATAGTTTGTTGAGAGAGTTTGCAATTTTTTTGTCTAAAACTTGTTGTTGAGAGAGAATTTGTAATATTTCTGTCCAAAAATTATTGTTGAGATAGGGTTTGTAATTTTTCCGTTTAAAAATTGTAGATGAGAGAGGTTTTACAATTTTTCCGTCCAAAAATTTTAGTTGAGAGAAGACTTGCAATCTTTTCATCTAAAAATTGTTGTTGAGTTTGTAACTTTTTCGATCAAAAATTATAGTTGAGAGAGAATTCATAATTTTTTCATTCAAAAATTATAGTTGAGAGAAAGTTTGTAATTTTTCCGTTTAAAAATAGTTGTTTGGAGGGTTTGTAATTTCTCCTTAAAATTACAATTATATGAGAGAATTTATAATTTTTTTAATGTAAAAATTAGAAGTTGAATAATAAATTTGTGACTTTTATTTTTGAATTTTCACTTCTTTTTCTTCTTTCATGGAAGAGCTTCCACATGTGTTGATATTTGTTTATTTTTTATTTTTCCAACAAGATAATGGTAGGGTATAGGATAAAACTTTCTAAGGAAACGTGTTTTATAGACCTTGTTGGGCTTAATAAGGGTAAGACCCAAAATAGCAATACTACAAGAGGTGTTTTATGGAATTGTTTACTGCATCTTTAACGGTGTTCACACACCTCCGTGAAAATTAATTACCCTTATTTTGCGCCAAAAGTCTACATCACAACGCTTAGTAAGTAGTTACTCTTATTTTGCCATAAATTAGTACAAAAGTGTATCTCCATAAAAACTAAGGGAGTATACCTTTGAAAGCGTTTTGAATGATATTATCGTGCCAAGCCTTTCTCATTCCTCATTTCTAATAGAACTTACTCTAAACCAAAAAAAAATGCGAGAAACCCGATTTCCACCATTTTTTCAACCTTTCTCACAATTTATATTGTATTGCGCCTAATCCAAGAGCTTTCTCAGTCTTTATTTTAGTCCATTCAATCCAAGAGCATCCACTTCTCGCATTTGGTAAGTTTTTTCATTTTCTTTTTTTATTTAATATTTGTGATACATGCATTATTAAATAGGTTATTTAAGGCACATTAGGTTCTAGTTACATTCATAACACATAGTTTATTGAGTTCATGCGTTGACATTTTTTATGTTTAGAGTTTAACGTTGTTGGAAATCCACCAAATTCTATGATGAATTTCTACCACAATGACAATTTAATTATGAGACAAACTAAGAAAAGAAGACAAGATAAATAATTTCTGCAAAGTTTCTCTCTGCTTACAAACTGTGAAAACTTTCTTATTCACTTTACAACTGCAAAATATTGTGAATGACTTGTTTGACTTGCTTACAAAAATAGGGGTTACTCCCTCTATTTATAACTGAGCTTACACCCTAAGCCCAAAGCCCAAAATATCTATTTTGTTACTAAATCAAATCTAATCTATTATAGACTTAAATCAAATCTATTTAAATCTAAAACAAATCAAATCTTTTCGACACATAGTTTCGACAGACTGAATTACAATTTAACACACCACCTAATTCATTGTGTCTAAACTATCTATGTTCATCATGGATCTTAGCTTTCTGAATACTTCGACTTGCACTCCCTTCGTCATGATGTTTGCAATCTGATTCTCAGTTCTGCAGTGTTCCAAATTCATTTTCTCATCTACTACCTGCTCTCGAAGATAATGGAACCTCATTTCGATGTGCTTACTTCGACCATGTGTTATTGGGTTCTTTGCCAGATTAATAGCTGACATGTTGTTGATCTTCATGGTAATTGCTCCATGATCTTTCCCTGTTATCTCTTCGACCAAGTTCACCATCCAAGTTGCTTGACATGCACAAAGGGAAACAACTATGTATTCTGCTTCGCATGATGATAATGCCACTACTGGTTCCTTTCTTGAATTCCAAGCGACTGGTGCACCACCTAGCATAAACACATGTCCTACTATTGACTTTCGATCTTCAGCATCACTACACCAACTCGAATCAGTGTATCCCACTAACTTTCATTCTTTTCTTTTATTAGTTGCAGGAAACAAAATGCCATAATCGAAAGTTCCTTTGAGATACCTTAGTATCCTCTTCACTGCTGCTAGACGTGATACCTTTGGCTTCTGCATGAATCTACTTACCATACCTACACTATATGCTAAGCCAGGCCTTGTATGACAAAGGTATCGCAATGATCTAATAAATCTTCTGTATTGGATTGGATCAACATCATCTTCATCTGCATCTTTCGACAGTTGCAGTCTTGGTTCTGTAGGTGTCGAAGTTGAGTTGCATTCTTCCATCTCAAACCTCTTGAGAATTTCTCCTGTATATCTTCTTTGATGCATCATCAAACCTCTACTGCTCTTGTAGAATTCGATTCCAAGGAAATATGAAATCTCACCTGTTTTACCCCAAAATTTTCCCTCCCATATTTCTCAAAACATTTTAAGAAAGATCCTCAAGTTGCTCAAAGAAGTCCAAGGGTTGACCAAACAAGCCCTCTCCTAAGGCAGTCTATCTCAAATTAGGGTTTCATGTTGCATCAAGATACTTGAGTCCAAGGGATCCCAAATGCTCACCAATGTCCTAATATGTTCTAAAGATCATCCATGACAAGTTTCAAGCCCTACAGAGAAAATTTGCTCAGTCAATTACTCAAAGGCCTGAAAATCGACTGTGCTAGGGCAAAAGTCAACTGTGGCCTACATACAGTCAAACTTCAAGATTTTTGGTCAACATCCTCATTTTGAAGTATATTTCATCATTTGATCAAGGGTTGATCATGATTCATCAAGGATTGCTCATAATTCATCAACCAAAAGTTGCTAAATTAGGGTTTTGTAGGAAAAGTCAACTCAACTTTGACCAAGCATAACTTTCTCATACTTTATGAGAAATGACCCATCCAAATCTCATTTTGAAGAGGATTCCATGCTATACAATCCATCTTCATCTCCCAAGTTCAAAATATGCACTCACAAGAAGTTATGAATTTGGACATTATAGGTCATTTTGAAAAGTCAACAAAAACACCTTTTTTTTGTCAAAACTTCATACATGAGCATGGAGTATCAAATTGAGATGAGACAAAAAGGGTTGCTTAGAGGAAATCTCAAGATTTCTAAAAAGTCCAAGAACACCTTCAAAGAGTCAAAATTGAGGAAGTTATGCATTGGTGAAGTTGACCCTTTTTTGCAAAATTGTCAAAAGTCAACTATGCCTAAAATTGCAAATTTTGCTAAATGGGCCCAATCTTTTGCACTTGTTTTGAGTTGGAAACATGGTCCACGAGCCCTAGCCTTTTCCACTTGTCATTATCTTATTTTTATTATTTATTTTGATTTTTATTTGAATTAAATCATTTTAAATCAAAACAAATCATAGAAAATCCAAAATATTGAAATCTCAAGATTTGATACATGTTTCAGGTCTTAAATTCCAGCTAGCATGAGA